GATATTTGGGATGGGAGTGTCAGAGACTGTGCGATTGGCACAGGACAGAGCGGAGTTTAGGGCTGTTGTACATAGGGTCGCTATGAGTCGCAAGCGACTCGACGGCACATAACAACAACAACAGCAACAAATTTTATTTTATTTTTTGTGTATGTGTACCATCAAATAAGATCTGACTGGTACAGGAGGAGATTGCCCCTCCTTCTCCATAGAGTAAATTTCTAGACAGACTCTTCTAGTTGTCCTCCCTTTCTGAGAGAATCACTTTTTCCTTTATCCTCTCAGACCCTTGACTCTGCCTTCAATAGGTTCTTACTTGTCTAGTTGTTATATGGTTATAGATAAAGTGGATCTTAGAGGAGGTGACTTAAGAGATGGAACAGTCACCAGCTAGCAGTTTGGACTTGTGGGGTTTTAAGCAGTATATCTCTGTAAAGCCTTGATAAATTTTTGGCTTATTTATTGCCAGCCACTTCCATGTGCCAGTAACCATCTTCCAAGTTCCTTTTAGAACATATGGTTCTTAACTCTGTTTTATTTCTTAGTTATATTTCTATGCTTATGATTTATCTACTTCATTTTAGTTTCTGCTACTTCCTGGCCATCAGAAATCATAGTCTTGGCTGGAAATGTAGCATGCTCAATATGCTCTTCACTCCCTAGCTGGACTTCTCCACCACTCCCCACCCCTTTATTGGGGAGGTCTTAGGGAAGGATGTGATCAACAAGAATTTTATCTCCTCCTGTTGGGGACAGAGGAACAATTGGCATTTCTATACCTGTAAAATCCAAGTGTCTAGATACTCTATTTATTCACTTTTATCTCTGTCCTAAACTGGCTGATTTTTTTTTTTATTGAGTTTGTCTTTTTCTTGTGATACTTTGCCAAAAGCAACTAGCAGATTTCAATATGTACTGACATTCTGGATTTAGTCTGTGGCTTCCTTTGAAAAGGCTCCATAGTCACATGATGCACCATCCAAATTATCACAGATGAAAGCTTTCCCAAATGTTTGCCACAGCACAAGAAGAGTCACCAGATTTCAAGCCTTAACCATGTTTGCTCACCGCCTACCTCCCAACTCTAAACTGGTGCCATATAGTCTAGATATTTGTTATAATGGCAACCCACTCCTGATAGCAATTTTTGTCTTTATTACTTGGGAGAAAGGATAAGTTCCCGTAACAAAAACCCCTCTAAAATGATATTGACTTAAGATGGATTCCCCCCCCCTTTCATTTAAGAATTCTTATGTTCATATTGGCCAGTAGTACCTCTATTCAAAATTAATTTAGAGCCTCAGATTTCTTCCTCATTGCTTCTCTTACATCTTTGAGGGCATGTCCTCATACTTAAGGGTGCAACTCCTAGTAAACACTCTGTGTACCTCCTCACAGGAATGGAAAAGAATGTGGAGGACCCCAACTGATAGGTTCTTTTAAGGCTCAGACTCTGAGCATGTCGCTGCTATCATATCTCATAGAAAAGATCTAAGTCATGGCCACACCTAGCTGGTAGCTTAGTGGTAAGGAGACACACAGCCAAATCAAAGGAAGGTGGTTCAAATCTACTTGTTTCATGGGAGAAAGATGTGAATTTTCTTTCTGAGTGCTTTATGTCCTCTGGAAGCTAGCTGTTGTGGGGTCAGCTATGAGTAGGTTCTGACTTAACAAAACATACCCACAACAGCTGCAAAAGGGAAACAAAAATGTGGCCTCGAGGTGAGCCCATGTATTCAGCCACACTTTATTACCACGGCAGAAAGGATGAACAGAACTGACAACTGTCAGTTTCCACTGTAGACACTGAAGACTGGGTTTACATGCCCAACATTTTATAACTCTGGAATTTATTATGGTTTATATATTTTCATCTTCATATAGCTGTTGATAGTTCTTGGATTAATGAATTCAGGTTTAGTTTATATTTTTATTAATTTTGTGTTTTATTTAGAGACTTGCTCTATTATAATACCAGAAATGAAGAATTTACTAGATTTTTCCATGCATGTTTGTTTTTATTATTTTGTTTGTTTTTTTAAAAGAAGAATGTTGACTTTTTGTGCTGATTAACTCAAAATACTTGGCGAGCG